TGGAATATATTTATTGAGGGGGAGCTTTGATTTTTCAAATGATTTTTAAATGTCAAATTTACTACTTACTCTCCAAAGTTATTTTGAACTTTAAAGATTGAATTATTTTTTATATAACAAAAAGGGAGAGAAGTTTGGTTTGAAAAATTCAATTTCTTAATGAATAAGGGGAAGCTTAACATTTTCATATATTTTCCAACAATTGGTATCTCTCTAACAATTGATATCCTTTTGTTGACAATTGGTACCTTTTTCATTAAACATTTTATTAAGGGGAGTTTTGCCAAAAACAATTTTTCAAATGTTTTGTTATATCAAAAAGGGGGAGATTGTTAAACTAAGTTTTGATATAACAATTATGGCAAAATGTTTTTGGACTTTAATTGAATTTATTCAAAGTTTTCAAAAGGTTTCAAAAATAATTCAAAGTCCATTAAATTCAAATTTGAGCAAAAATAAAAATGGGTACTGATACCCCTTCAAAGGGTAACCATACCCGGGTGTACCAATACTCCTGTAGGGGTATCCATACCCCTATGATTATTCAAACACCGAATGCAAAAAGGGTACCAATACCCCTATGGGTATCCATACCCGGGTGTACTATACCCCCTGTAGGGGGTATCATACCCCTATGACTGCTCAAACACCGAATACAAAAAGGGTATCGATACCCATATGGTTATCCATACCCGGGTGTACCGATACCCATGCAGGGGTATCCATACCCCCTGGCTGCAATGGCTAGTAGCAGCTAGTTAATTTGAATTTAATAAAGGTAGTACCGATACCCCTATTATGGGCAGCCTATTTTTGCAGAAACATTATCCCCAAACGGCTCCAAAACATCCCCAACGGCTAGATACGAATTCAAACACATTCCAAGCTATAAATACAAGTTGAGGACACTTGAAGATGTATTAGAACACATATCCAAGCAATCAAACACAAGAGAATAGTTTTTCATTCTTATTTTCATTCTCTCTTGTAAATATTGTTATAATGAGCTTAATTCTTGTAAACACCTGCCTTTGAGAGATTTATTTGTTTACTTTTTTTATCCTTTTGTAAAGGGGAAAGGTTCTAGTTTATCCCGTGAAAAACTAGGGAGTTGTAAAGGTTATCTCTTTGTCCTTGAAAAAGAAAGAACAAATTAGTGAATTTGTTGGAAAATCCTTGGTGAGGAGCTAAGGTAGTGGATGTAGACTTGGTTGAGAAGTCGAACCACTATAAATCGTTGTGCAAATTTTCTATCTTTCAATCTCCTTACTCCCTAAACACAAAAATCGTTTCGACCCCTCTTTGCAAACCGTTTCGGTTGTCGATTCGAGCTTTCGCAAATCCTAACACATACCTATTATGAATATGTCATCTAAAATTTTCTTATTTGATCTCTCAAATAAAATATTGTGTGAGATTTTACGATGCGTTGTCGGGAATAATATTGAGGATTTCTTAAATGTTCGCTTAACTTGTTGGGCTTTTTGTTTGACTGTAAAGTGAAGGTCTGTATTTTCAAAATTTAACTTGTATTCATACCTGTTGAAACCTTTGGATCGTTTTGAATTCTTATTTTTATGAAAATCTTTTATTTTGAAAAATCTTCAAGAACTATATAGAGAAGTTATATTAGAGTGTTTTTTAAAATATTATATCAATGTTGATATCAGGTGTGAGATTTTGAAAGAATCCTCTATGATGGGTAAAACCAAGGAAATTTATGCATTGGGAATACGATTGCATCATATAGAGAGGAGGTTTCATGAAGGATATAAAGTGTTAGAGAATCTTCCTTCAATGCATCATATTCACAACCAAAGACAATTTGACCATTTTCGAAAATCACTATGACACCAATATAAAATATTCTCTTAGTCGCAGTCATCGTTAAGAATGGGATATGAATATGAGCTTGTAGTGAAAACGTTAAGGGTTGTTTTTATTCTTTTTGAAAAAAATAAAACAAAATTATAATTGATTTTATTAATCATAGGAGTTAATGTAAGTCATGTAATGTAACTTTTAAATTTGACTAATGATTATAAGCAATTATTGTGTACTTAATTCTACTTTCATGATTTCTTTAAAAGTCATCATTGATAACTGTAATGGGAACTCTTCATTTGGTCATTAGAAGTTTATACTCATTTTGCCTATATATAATCATTTTTATATGATTGATACACAATATCTTAAATCACATATTCACCCAATACACCCTTATTCAAGTTCCCATTTTTTACTTAACCATGACAACAATTTCAGCAACAGTATATTGTGAGGATAAAATTTTCACTATGTTCTTCGACGAGACATTTGACACTATCTTCACTACACTTTAGGTTCCCCACCTATTTGGTTCCACAACATTCATCAATGGGCTATCTGAATAATGATTTCGCTGTTCAAACAATGATTAACACATACATTGCCAATTCGATGAGTAATGCTGATCTATTTTTCGAGTATCATAAGCAAGACGCAACTCCTTCCACTCCAAATACTAAATCGAAAGATGCATTTGATAATATAGAAGTTGAACTTCAAGAACTTGAACTATTTATATATTGGAGGAAACAAAAGAAAGAATGGAGGACTGAAAAACTGAACTTAACATCTAACAATTAAATTGACTATAAAGATTAAGATGCTGCAAACTCGGATGTGAAAGTTTATGTTATGTTTTTTTACAAAGTTCATAATGTCATTTTAGTTATCCTTTAAAGGCTTCTCTCAACCGTCATTTTAGTGTTTTGTACCCCTAAAACTCCACAATTTTCCATTGGTTCAAGGGAACATTTAAAAATATAAGAAATAAAATTTTACTAGATTGAGTTCAAGAGAGAAAATTCAAACATAATCAAGATGTATCATTTTTTTCTCAAGAAGACGTTTTAAATCTATAAAAATATTAATAAAATATAATATTCAATTCGAACATTTAAAAATATAAGAAAATAAAAATATAAAAAATATATAAACTTATATCAAATATTTACAAAAATTCTTCAAAACTTAAGGTTTTTCTCACACAATTTTTTCTTTCTCAACAAAACAAAATACAAACCCTTAACAACCTCAAGCCTATTAATACTACAAAAAAATTTCAAATCCAACGGTCATAAATAGCTAGATCAATGGAATTCACCACCCCCATGTGACGAGTTCTATTGCACTAATTGTTTATGACCATTGGGTTTTGTTTGTTGCCCAACGATCCTTCAACAGCTAAAAATTTTAAAACCCAATGGAACTCATCATCCCACAGTTTCCTTTTATAATTTTAAAATAAAAAAATAAATATTATTTTAAAAAAATAGTAATTTTGTAATATATTTAATAGATTTCATCATGTGAGGGTGACGAGTTCCAGAAGAAATAATTTAATATTTAGTCCATGAGGTCCACCTGAAATGGTCAAATGGTCTATTTAAAAATAATATTCACACAAACTCATCATCCTAGAGTGATGAGTTTACCCTACACAATCCTAAAATAAATTTTAGATTGTAATGTAAGCCTAATGAAATAACCCGCCTGGATTACTGAATAATTTTACCCCACTCTAGTATCTAATAATGATAAAAACATGAGATTTGGTAATAAATACAAATTTATACGGCCTGTCCCTTTACCACGCAACGCATACATACATGTTTTACAGTCAATATTGAAGATCAATCGAGTACTGCTGCACACTTTGCTGGTTCCTCTATTATCAAGCCGAAAATATGTAGGACTCCTGCTTTTTTACTGAGCTATAACACACTTTGCTGGTTCCTCTATTAAAATCCTTTCTAGGTATTGTTTAAAGATGAGGTAAGTACAAGGAAGTATTTGTTTAAAGATAACTCTCAACCATTTGATATTGAATGCTCACACACCTAACATTCATGGTGCTCGAAACCGAGTCCTCAAAGAATAACAACAATTCTTTTACTACCAAGCGTGCTTTTTCTTGATAATATACTTGAATGCAAATGGGTAAAGCAATAATTGAAGTTGCTTCAGTTGCATAATTCTTCACAATGCTATATAGTTCTTTCAGATAAATGGTTTGATGTTATGAATCAGTAGGCAACGAAATCAAGGTAAAAACTCATGATTAACAAGAGGGAAAACATTCATAACAGTATCACTTCATCTTCTCTAACTTCAAGCCCCAACAAATATCAAAATTATTAAAATTATTATAAAATTAATGAATGAATTATTAATAAATTAATAAATTATTAAGTTAATAAGAATGTTAAGTATCATGGAATTGTTTAATTATTTCAAATTATGACCAATTTGATAGAATATATAAATTTTGAAGAGTAAAGTTGTTACTATATTATGTCACATTACCAATTTTTGTTAAGTCAACGGTCAAATCTAATAACCAGTGACTAAAACAAAATCAAAACATAATATTAAGTATAATTTTGAGGGTGAAATCAATTAAATTGTATAGTTCATGCTATATTTAAATATTTTAAGTTTAAACTAATTCGACTTTGAATTAAATAATTCAAATGACTTCAATTTTATAATAAAAAAATAGATCGAATTTGAATTGATGGGTTGCGCGCCTAGTAAAACCTGATAACACAAACTAGTATAATCTCAAGAAAATTGAGATAAAACCATGTCCAAACAACCACAAATAAAAAGAAAAGTAAAACAAAGGATCAGAATTGAGAAGATGCAGGGATGGAGCGAAGGGTATCGGGTGTGCAGTCGTACATCTAAAAAAATTTAATTATTTTATATTTTAGGTAATTTTTATATATTTTATATACATCATCTAATTTTATATCTATGAGATTTTATAATTTAGTACCCTCTAAATTTTAATATAATTTTTTTAGTTAGTCCGGAATATAAATTCATGAGTGGACGTAAGAACAAGTAATATACAAGGCAGCAAAATCTTTTCCGATTGAAAAGAGAGAGGAAAGTTGTACAGATTTCATGCTACAAATTCAAACAACGGAAATAAAAGATCACAAGGCAAACTATAGATAGAAGTGAGCAGGATAATCATCTCTTCCAACTTCGACTTGGTGATCATTCAATCCACCAACAACCCAAGTCTCTTTAGCTATATCAGATGAAGTTTTGAAAAAACCAGGGTCGTATTTCACCACCACCAATCTTTCTTTTATCTTATCGTTTTCTTCTTCCATTAATGACCTCAGATTCTTTGTTTTCTTCTGGGATTTCCTCTTGCACTCTTCCTCTCCATCTTTTACGTTCTCTATTAACCAGCTTTTAGCAGGAGCTGACCTACAACGCATAAGCAACAGAGCATTTGGAGGTGGAACTGCTGCTTCATCATCATCATGGGTCTTCCCCTTATCCTTCTTTTCTTCTTTGAAAACCCCGTTGCTTTGATTCTCGTTTCCATCTTCATCTTCATCTTCGTCATCGGTAGTGATATCGGGTATAGGGAAACACCTGAAACATAAACGGATGCTCCGCAAGCATGTTAAAAACTGCATCTCTTCCATCACCGATTTCCAGCTTTTGCATGATCTCGTTTTAGACCTGACTTTGATCTGTCCCGCGCAAGTCACTTTAGGGGAAGTTGGTTCCGTGATCTCGGACCCAAATTGCTTGTTTTTAGCCCAGAAAATAGGGCTAGCTCCACCACCGTTTCTGGCTCTTGGTTTCTTAATGAAAATGTGGCGTCGGTTGTTGGGTTCCGTTGGCCTTGCGGGGCTACAAATGGGTTTAGGCATTAAGGGTAGACGTGATCGAGATGGGAAACATACCAGCAAATCTGCTGAAGGAGTCCCTTTGGGTTTAGAGTCTCTTCCTTTCATGATAGGGCAGTTGTGACTTTGTTTCCCTCTTATTCAGTTCAGCTTACTTCAAATGTTTCCTTTCAGATTTGGGCAATGAGCACTTTTTGAACTTTGTCATTGGTTGTTGTGTGTTTCTTTTTTTAATGTTTCTGTCCAAGGGTAATACTTTTAAAAATATTAGGAGGGAGCTGGTTTTAAGTTTTCTTTTTTACTTTTTAATTGGTCCCTCTATCATACTAAATCATGAGTTTAGTTATTATCTTAATTTAATAAAAAATATTTTTATTTTTTTTATTTTTGTTAGTGATCGATGACATTAGTTTTGGTGTTGATCGTCGACCATCAATATTTTTTATTTTCCTTTTATTTTTTATATTGTATTTTTTTGTTATTTTTATTTTTTTTAATAATTATGCATTTATGACATTTTTTCTACCTTTATAGTATGTTTTCGATCATTTGACCGTTATTTTTATTTATTTTTTTATAAGGGTTGGATTTGACATCATCACGACTTATCAAAATGACGCTTATTTGTTATCATATTGATCTTTCCTGTTTTGGACCTTATGATTCGATTTGGATACGTGATTTGCGTTCGTGGATAGTTTTCTCGCGTCGTTCGACTCTAGTTTGTTAATGATATTTTAGTAGCTTGATCCATTTTCTGATTCGTTTACCAATAGGATCTGATATGTTCATATATATCTTCTGTTTCGAGTTTTATGGTTAGATTCTTTAACTTTTTCCTTGTATGGTCCCTATGTATTCTTAAGTGACTAGTTTATTAAAATATTCTAAATTATGTCTTGGAGTGAGAAAAAAGTTAAGGTATAACGAGGGGAGTAATTCACTTGAGAACACATGCACTAAGAGCTTGCGTTAGGATTAAACTTTGTTTGTGACTTTGATTTTCCACCATGGAAATATACTCACCTTCTTTCATTTACAGTTATTATTATCATGTGATAGAGGGATATTAGTGGGGAAAGGGAAAGGAACTATTTGATACCCTATTTTCTTCCTAATTAACTTCTTAATCACATGGTTCTTCGCCAATGTCAAAATTATTCACATGATCAATTAGAAGTTAAAGTTATCCGTTTTAAAATAATGAACAATAAGATAAGTTCTAACAGCTAGAGTTCTAATGTAAAGATTAAAATTAATTAGTATAAGTGTTCATGTTCCATAGATTAAATATTAACAATCTTTTATTTTATATAAGTGTTCATTTTTTTAGATTAATATAAGTGTTCATGGTCCCCGATTATAATGTGATACTTTATTGAGTCATCCAACTATTAAAATTATAAAACGGTCATTTGATTATAGGGTGCTATTTTATTGAGTCCTCCTACTATTAAAAGTTATAAAATGGTCCCTCGAGTATAGGGCATTACTTTGTTGAGTCCCCTAACTATTAAAAGTTACAAAATAGTCACTCAACTATTCATGTGTTCCAAACTAGTCCCTTTTATGTTAAAAAATTGAATGTCATTTGAGCTGGACGTTAACATACTAACTCATAAATGATAAAATAATATTTTAATGATATCTACTGGCACCATCGTTACTTTTAAGCATTGACTCAACAACATAAATTTTCAAGTACTAGGTCGACATCATAATGTAAACGGAGAATCGATGCAGAAAATAGACCTCAAACGATTTTAGGATTAGATTTTATTTTATCACAATCAATAGGTTAACGCTCAACTTAGAAGTCCATCAATTTTTTAATAGAAAATGATGAATTTGAAACATATGAATAGTCGAGTGATCAATTTGTAACTTTTAATGTTAATGGGACTCAACAAAATAATATCCTACGGATAGGGGCCTATTTTACAGCTTTTAATAGTCTGGGAATCAACAAAGCAACATCTTATAGTCAATGGACCATTTTTAAGTCTAAAAATATTCAAGTGTTTCATTTATGGGGTTTTACATTTAAGACCATTTAAAAATCTTGTGCGGTATTGTAGCGTAATATATGACTCGTTGCATTATTACTTAATAGTTTCATACCATAAAACTTTTAACATGGATCTCTCGTCGGGTTGTGTTGATATTGCATTCAATAATCTTAAAATTTATGATGATATGGTTATTATTTTCAAATTAATATTTATGGGGTTTTACATTTAAGACCATTTGAAAATCTTGTGTGGTGTTATAGCGTAATATATGGTTTGTTGCAGTATTACACAATGACTTCAGATCATAAAAATTTTGAGGTGATTCTCTCATCGTGTTGCGATGATATTGTATCTAATAATCTTAAAATTTATGATGATATGGTTATTGTGTTACGTTACAATCATAAATTGATATTATAATCTATTGTCATTCAAATAAATATGGATTTCCCAAATGAAATAACAAAAATATACCCCCATATGGTATATAATTGAGATAATTGAGACATGGGTGCATATGGTAGAAAGGGGCTGAGTTTGAAAAGAAATCCTAGGCGGGCAAGCATTCATTAACTGTGTAGATGAATAGGCGACGGATGATAAAACACTATTTGCCATCATGGCAAACAACCCTATGTTTCCCAAGTCTCCATATTCTTTTTCTATTGTTTACTCTACTGACAGTGCATTTTGTCAAAACATGAAAAGAGATTAGGTGCAGGCGTAATAAATAGGTCCCATGTACAGAAAAACCAAAAAAGAAAAAGAGCCACAAGCTGCAGATTTGGTGAAATCACGTTCAAATTAAGGGGCTTTCACATAAATGATTTGCATATATAATTGACTATCCATCCTATGTCACTCCAAAGTCCAAATGCAAGACCAAATACAAGGATGTTAAAAATCGATCTGACTGACGTGTAAAACTGAATGAAATCAATTTGAGTCAAAATTATTTTTGATATGAAGTTGTGGTGATCCAAAATCGATTTGATTTTAAATTAGTGTTGACCTGAACCTAGATTGGATCTAATAATTTTGGATTTGAACTTGACTTGCACCTAACCTAATAACAATCTGGACCTTAATTGAACTTGATAATGTGATAATTGAACTCGATCTGCATCTAACATGATATGAACCCGAACACGAGATTCAGCTAGTAAATAACTTACATTACTCGACATGTTATCAACCTAACATGTTATGAACATGATTTGTAATTAACTCGGTATGTAAAAGATCTAACTTGTTATTGAACTGATTTGATATTGATGTAACTTGGTATTTAGCTGACTAGCAAGTTGCAATTGATGAAGTTGCAAGATTATGAATTTATGATATTACAGTGTGACAAAAATAATTCTTTGTTATTTAAGGTACATGATTAGCTATGATCATTAAATTAATATGTTAACTTTTTATATTTATAAATTGTAATCTATAAATATATTCAAAAGTTTTATCAAATTAATATTTTTATTGATAAAATTAATAAAAAAATATTTCTTCGTAATTTAAAAGAAATTATTAATTATGATCATTAGATTAATAAATTTAATTATGATATGTATGTATGATATGTACTATATATGTATGTATAATTTATTAATGCATGTATCATGTATGTATGTATGTATATATGTATAATTTACTAATGCATGTATGATATGTATGTATAATTTATTAATGCATGCATCATGTGATTATGATATAGATATATGCTTGATCAAATGTGTGATATGTATGTATGTATATGTATGTATGTATGTATGTATCATGTATGTATTTATGTATGTGTGTATATTTATAATTTATTATATATATATATATCATGTATATATTAGTCTTTAAAATTATATTTTTATTCGAATTTTTTTTAATTTACTCCAAACTATATAAATTACCTCATAAACTTCAAACTGTATAAATTATACCATAAGTGCATAATCTTCAAACTCTATATACTTTTGTTCACCAACTTTTCAAATGAATAGAATTTAGTCCAATTTGATATTAATTTCAAGTTTACATTTTACAATTGTTTCAATTTGATCCTTTCTTAATTTATTTAAATTTAAATTTACAATTTTTGTTGTTCAATTTAGGTCTTAAAATTATATTTTATTCGAAATTGACCTATAATTATTTTTATTTTTTGCAATTTACTTCAAACCCTTTAAATCACATCATAAATTTCATTTCAAGTCCTACAAAATATATCATTATCTCCAAACCCCATTATTACTACTCACCCGTGCGAACCGTTCGTTTAAGCGAACCTCTCCTTATGTGATATTCCACAATAGCAAACATATTATTCGTACGAACCTTAGGGGACACGAATGCAAGACCATGCGAATTCTTGGACTTGTGTGGTGCACCTACAAACTGCCATGTGTTGACCACCCACAATCCCTCCGAACACACCTGTCATAATCGGTTTTCGTCCGGGCACGAATTTTTACTTGACGGAGAAAATTAATGTGGATAAAAATGATTTTGATTTAAAATAAATATTTTGGGAGTCGCCATTGACCTTTTTGGGTTAGGTAGATCAAATACCTAAAAAAAATCTTTTAAAATAGTTTTTAAGAAAACAATATTAAAAAGATAAAACTGATCTGCATATAACCAAAAATTTTAATAAAAATGGGTTCGTGGTCGGTTACATTCAGGGAAGGATTAGCACTCTATAATGCCCAAAATTGGTACTTTATTAATTATAAATTGTCTATATAATTAGAAATTTAAAAATTCAAAGATACATTTAACTTATAATATTTTTTTATTTCAAATTTATGATTTTATGAAAATATATTAATATAAATAAGATATCTATTTATTTAGAAATATTATAAAAGGGCTTCTAGGTGCTTTAAGACAATCTTTTCTTTGATATAAAAAAATTAATAAAACATTTCTTAAAAGTTAATATATGATTTATAAAAATAAGATATTTAGTAAAAATATCAGAAAACAGACTTCTAGGTGCTTTAAGACAATCTTTTTTTAATATTGAAAAATAAATATATATTAAAATATAATTATTAAAAGTAATTTATGAAATATAGGATTTTAATAGAAAACAAATAG